GTTAAAATAAAAAAAAATAAAAAATAAAAATCCTGTGAGGATGTTGGGTCCTGAGCTCCAGCTCCAGTGCTTCACACACGTGCTTCTCCAGCACCTCTCCCGTTCTCGGTAACAAACCAATGGATGTTGTTGCTGCTCAGGTTATGATTTAATTCGAAGTAATAAGAAGTTGAAGGGACAAGGAACTCTGAATAAAGGTGCTGAAATTTAGGGTAGGGACAAAAGGGAAATGATCTGAATTATCTTCCATGAATATAGGGTATTCTCTTTTAAGATGTGTCATTTGCTAGAACTGAAAGGTTTGTCGAAAGGACCAAGCAGGAAAGGTAGAATAAAAAGGAGGCTGCTTCTGCCCATGCGTGACATGGGAAAGGGTCTTAGATCGGCAGGAGAGGGCAGTTGCCTTTGGTGAAACTGGGGTGTTGTGCGGGGTGGTTTTTTTGCTCCCAGGTTCTTGTGTACATGAGGTCATTTGTCAGCCAGATTTCTACTTCTAGCATTAACCTTCACCTACATGCATAGCATTTTAATTCTTCTCCACATCTCTACTCTACTATTTTTTAGAAGTATTGAGAAAACTCAAAGCCGTTTCTGAAATAACTAATGTATGCTATAGCTCCAAAGTACTGCTGTGCTTAAGTACTGCTGTATTTTATTGATAATGTTGCTTCCCTAATAAAAATATTTAACACAAAGTATGATATCCTGTCTGAGTTTCACATAAATATTTCCATTATATTGCTGATATGGATCAGAAAAAATTCAGTACGCACATCCCGCAAATGCAAATGTAATTGATACAAGGTATGTATCTTAATGTACATCTTGAGTAAACACAAGAAGACCATGCCCTAATGGAAAACAGGCGCTGTGGTACAACGTGCAATCATGCTTTTACATCTGAACTGGGCTTTAGGTTTAGAAAACAAATCTTAAATCAATCCTACTCAAAGGACAAATCATGGTTCACATATTTGTAAAAAAACTTTTGTTCTAGAAGACCCTTTGGTGAAAAAAGCTTGGGAAACGCCATCCAGCCCCAGTGGTGGAGGGGTGGGAAAGGAGGGACTGAGGTATCAGTTCAAACAATCTGAGGGAAAAGTTGAATAAACATTGAAGACAACAGAATAGAAACCAGACGCCAAATATTCCTGCACAGGGTCTTCAAAGAGGGGCCTGAGATTTATTTTAATTGTCATTGAAAGAAAAAGATACATTTTTTGGAAGGGGAATGTATGCAAATTCAGCTGAGGTCAATAGTGAATGCGTGTTTTTTTCTTTTCTTTTCTTTTTTTTTTCTTTTTGAAGCAAAAAGCAAACAAGCCCCTATGGACTCCTTGACCCCCCGAGCTTGCCACCAACCCGAGTTTGAAAAGGGCACGTTAAAAAGAACAAAAATCCCTTTGAATATAAAATAGTGCCAGAATCACAGGATGTGAATCCAATGAGAAGATGAGATGCTTCAAGGGAGCTGTGTTGGGATGCCCGAAATGCTGGCCAGAGCATCGGGAAGGACCGGAGACCTTTTCCACGTGGGGGGACAACCCGAGTGCCAGGGCATGGGGCAGCATGGGGATAATCGGTGGCTCCCGGGCCCAACATCCCTGTGCGATATGAGAACAGGCAGGATGAGGGAACCACTCCACAGCTCCCGTCCTCAGGGCTTGTCCCGTGAGTGCGTAGGGGGTAAAAGCTGGGGTGGTTGCAGAGTTTGGGCAAAGCCGCAAGGAAATAATGGGCCGGTGGCCTCCAAGGGCCTGAAAAATTGGGGGGGAGGAAAAAAGGGAAAAAATGGGAACGTCTCTGTCGCCGTGCGTGTTTCACACGCGCCGGTCCCCGCAGAGGGCCCGCGGCGGCGCCCGGCCCCGCGCGAGGCGCCGGGAGGCCCCGGGGC